ACCCTCCTATTGAAATAAAAGGAAAAAGGAAAAGGAAAAAAAAATAAAGAATAAATTACAATTTGCTCCTAAACTTTTTTAAAATGCAAATCAGTCCAAAACTTATGAAAATATTAAAAATAACCAAAAAAAAAAAAAAAACTCTCATTTCTATCTTCCACCTTCCTCCTCCAACCGCCAGACACAGTAGCAGCAGATCTAGTAATTTTTATCTATCTTACTCTTTTTCATAAATTTTTGGAGGGTAGAGAGAGAGAGAGAGTTATGGGTTTAAAGAATATGTTGGTACCAGATGACCAGGTTCATTAAAATCTGTCGTAATTCCATTTATCTCCTCTGGCTTGAACTGCAATCCCACAAATGGAAAATATAGAAAAAAAAAGTGAAAATCTCTAGTGTAATATGGACCAAGACAAGAAATTACTCAGCATAAAAAAGGGATTACGAATTAGCATAACAAAATCCCAATTTGATGACTGTGGGGAGTAAATAACTGAATCCATTCATACGAATTTAAATGGGACCGTTTGTAAGTCTTTGAATTTGTACACTGTAAGAGTTTCAATTGCATTCGTATCCCTTCATATGATATCGACGACAATGGTTACACCTCTACAGATTCATCATTCAGTTTCTTAATCAGGGACGATGGCATTGGTGAAGATTGGTGGCGGCTGGCTCGGCGGTGGACGAAGAACCAAGCCACGGAGATTAAGACTAGGAAGAAAACAGAAGCACCAATTCTGGCTCCCAGGAAAACCCACTTGAAGAACCACCTTCGTCAGAGGGGGTGGTAGGAAGGGTCGGTGGACGAGGAGAAAGAGGTGGCGAGGGGAATATAGCCTTGATATTTTCCTTGGTGGGTTCTTTAGTGAACTGCTTTTGTTCCTAAAGCTGAAAAGAGTCGCAATTGGTGATTTAAGTAGATTTATAAGTTCAGTAATTTCATTTTCTCCGTCTGTGGAAGTGGAGGAACACTACGAGGGAGACAATGGCGACAACAACAATAATGAGCTTAGAGGAGGCAGATTTGGACTTAGCAAGTTAGGGAAGATTGAGTGACGAGATATTCGCCGGGAAGGAATGGAGTGTTGTTTAGATGGCTCGGGCGCTGATGCAAACAACAATGGCGGCCGGAAGGTGGAGATGGTGGATGAGGCTCAAGAAAGGAGATGAGGAGAAAATGGGAGAAATTTTTTTTCCCTTTTTTTTTTTGGTTTTTTTTAATATTTTCATAAGTTTTGGATTGATTGCATTTAAAAAAAGTTTAAGAGCAAATTGTAATTTATTCTTTATTTTCCTTTCCTTTTCCTTTTTGTTTTATTTAAATTGAAGGGTATATCGGTCATTTTATGTTAAAAATTAGGGAAAATGACGTTTTGCGCAAGAAAATGCATAGGTAGGAACATTTTGCACTAAAAAATCAAACGTAGGGACCTTTTTCATACAACTCGTCATAGGTAGGGACGTTTTTCGCCAATTACCCTTAAAAGATTTCTAAAGTTAGATATTATTTCAGTTACACTTATTGTTCCCAACATTCGCAAAATTTTACGAATTTATCGTTCCTCCTTTTTAGTATCAAACATTAATTTTAGTGATTAAAACCATGAGAAATGGTGAATTTGCCCCCTCTTCAAATAAACACATAAAAAAGAAAGCAATGTTTGAGCTCAATTTTGGGAAAATAGGTTTTGTAATAGTGACTTTTTTTTGGAGAATGTGTGGTTACAAAGTAAGAATTTTTTTTGAATTTACGTGTAAAATTATTTTATTTGTATAATTTATGGTTGAAAATGAGTTTAGAAAAAATGAATTTTTAATCGTAGCCAAACATACTCTATCTTTTTCAAAATTAAGAATAGATCACAATTAAATACAATTGACCAAAAAAAAAAAAGAAAGAAAAAAATTATTCTTCCCCAGTCTCACCCACCCAATCAAACCCCACGAACCCCATCCAAATCACCACCAGTCAGTCATCACCACTATCCCCACCCATAACAATTTCGCCTAATATCCCCAAACTATTTGAATCATCACTATGATTGGAGACTTGAACTTGTAAGAACCTTACATATATGACACGTATTTTTGTTTTTTACTGAGTATTTGTTATTGGATGATGGAAATAATTGGCTTTTCATTTAGTTATATATAAAGGCACATGACCATTGTAGAACAAAACGAAACTCGCAATGTCTAATTTAAAGTTTGCATCTACGAGGTTTCTAAATTATTATTATGAATTCTAAACGGCGTTTCTTTGTATGAATACATACTTCTGAATCTATCTAAAAATGAGAGAATAAATTGTAAGTACAATACGTACATGGTATGAAACGGACTTTAATTTACTCTTTTATGAATGTAAATATTTGTTCAATCATTAAAAAAATAATTTTATGTGTACAAAGAGCTAATAATTTATATACTGAATTAACACACTATGAAAAGCGTGTTGTAGAATCCAAATAATTATAAAATCGTGCTATCATGATAAGCACAAAGAAAAAATTATTACCATCAACGCTATAATCGCACTTCTTCTTTCTATGTTCATTATTCCCCAACTTGATGAAATATCTGACTCCAACAAAGAATTATAGCTAAAATTAGGGTTTGACCCATACAAAGCCTGTATACCTTCCACGTCATCAACTTTGAGGTCCACTTTTTTGGTCCTTGGACTCAAACTCGGGTACATAATCGCATTTTTGTCCGAAGAGTGAGCCAACCCAAGTACATGCCCAATCTCATGGGTCGCCACTGATTCTAAATCCACCGCCACTTTTGACTTCTCCGCCGTGAAGTCCACTGCCCATGTCTCGGCGGCGTCGAGGTGGAACCTCCCATTTTCCGGCGAAAACGCGTGTGCAAGAATCCCCAACACCCCGTCAAACGACTCCCCATCCCCATGATCGCCTTTGTAAAACCCTATTTTGATATCGGCCCAGGAGTAATCCTCGACCTCGGTGAAGTTGACCGGAATCACTGACGACCACCTTGAAAAGGCGCGTTGAAAAACTGTTTTGATATCGGATAAGCTTATATAGTCGATGATGTTAGACGGAGAGAAGGCGTAGGATAATATCATCGGCGATGATTTGTTCCACCTCGGCTCTCCGTAGAAATAGGCGTAGTGCTTTGTTACATGTAAACTGTGGGCTGTTGTTGTGTCGGAAACTCCACACCTTGGGGACATGATCACTTTCATAGTATCGTGGTCCAGTTTTCCGGTGGTGGATAACCCGAGCTTTTTCTGGAACACGAACAGAGCGGACTCAAACTCTTGATCGAATAAATTGGTGAAATTATTTTCCGGGATGGAGAGGTACCCAAAGCGTTGAAAATATTTCTTAAGCTCGGTCATGCCGGTGACGCGGCTGCCTTTTCCGGTATCAAGAAAACGATTAAAACTGTACCACGTGTCGTTTTGAATATCGACAGTTAATTTAGTTAAAGAATCTGGTGGCGACCGGGTTGCTATGGCGGGAAAGATAGAGGAAAAAGAAAGAAAAATGATGAATAAGGTAAATGCATCATTAAAAAACCGAAACATGGTTTTTCGGAGATTTTCGGGATTGGGGAAGTCTTTATTAAGACTAAGAAAATTTTATATATAGATACAAAATTTGTTTGTATATGTTAGTTATAGATAAGATCGATGCACAAGAAATTGGTGTCAAATTTAGGAAAATTCTTTAGTCTGAATTTTATATTGAGATTCTTAGTTTGAAGGGT